TCGATAGGAGAAAGTTTCGAGAAGGAAAAAGTAAGAGTGAATGACCTTGGCATATGTTCTTCGTTAAATGGTAAATATTTTGAGGAACATCCTCCAAGAACTAATGTAGCTCCCCGTCGTGGAGGACAACTCCTCCCATGCACTTTTGTTGTCAGGAATTTTTCTTTCGATGTTCTTCTGTCATTTTAACTGCAGCGGTTTTTGGCGCAGTTCAGCGACGGGGGGGGCATATTCCACTCGTTGCTTCACTAGTTCCGGTTTACAGGTCTCACTTATCACTCGGTGAAACCTGCTGAAGCTTTTGTGGGGGTGGAGCACGCTCTAAAGCCACCACAATAAGACCTATTAACTCGAGCTAGGCTATGTACATGAGGCGACACGTCGATGGGAAGTAATAAAAGTGCAAAATGCCCCCTCCCCTCCCTCCCACCGTCGCCCGAACTGCAACCCGCCGGTTTTTGCTCAAGGCGATCCGATTCCAGCTTTCCAGCTTATTGAATTCCTTATGCACTTCGGTTTCTTTACATTTTCATAATCCAGAGTACCCAGGGGTTCAGAGGTACTAATTTGCTGTTGTGGCACCATATAATGTTGTTAGCAAATTCACTCCAAAAGTTTCATTATCGTTATAAATTTCGTTAAGTTTCATTATTTCATTATAAAATAACATTATTCTTGTGAATCCTCAAAAATCAACTATACGTATGCGACTCTGCTCTCCGAGTTCTTGGTAGTTGGTTAGCAGTTTCTCTTTCTTCCTGAAAGCTGGGCGTTTTCATTTTTTGAGGGTCCAATTTCTACAGCTATGCTTGCCCATTGAAGTTGTTTTTGGGGGTACAAGGAGAAGGAAAGTAGGGAGGGAAAACGCTACGCCGCACTTCTGCAGATGGCTGAATCGTTCCCATCCAGACCATAAGGGAGTCTGTGCTGGGTAAACTAGCACTATCTGGTCGAACTAGAGTAAAAGCATCAGGAATTCTTTCACACTCTGCACGTTGTTGGGCACGGATAACCTTGGAGGGGAGACTCGAAGGACTCGTTGTGCAAAACCGGTACTACCGTAGTGGTGATAATGACCTTTGTCGAAATCTGAAGAGGAATCTAGCGGGCATGTGACAAGAGAATCGTATTTCGCCGCGCCAGTGGGCGTGCGTGCGGCGTCCTGCCCGCTAATGACACTATTTTAGGTGGTATTGGTCTAGAATAGACATTTGTATGATCAAAAATGGACATATGTCTACCATGTCCTTGACAGCGTGAAATGCTCCAATCGAAAGGTTAGCAAAAATTAGGAAACGTCGCGCATTGCGCCGCGCGGCAAGCGGCGCCATTCACGATTTCCTTGCCCGTTTTTTCCAAAATAGCTTCTTAACCAATTTCAGTATGGTCATGCCTATTCTGCATATCAATAATCTCAGCTTGCCCACGAAGAATCCTTTGAATGCCCCAATTGCAAGCCTGGGCACGTTGTACGTTTGGGGTACCCGCTAGGGTTCGTATCCTTCTGAGGGAAATGTTTTGGGTTTTCGAACTTTCTCCGTTTTTCCTGTTCCATGTGCTTGTCTCCCCTCGCTCCGTAGAGTAGAGGATTCGGAAGTAAAAACTTCGGAAAAAAGGTAGGAAGTTGAGCATATTTAGGAAGATGTTGGTGGATGAGAAGCGAGGGTCGCGCAAAGTGAAGCAATTTTCGAGATTTGGGGGCGTCGTATTTTGCAAAGGGGGCTTCCCAGTGGCCAGAACGTTACCCTGTTTACGCGCATCATTCGTTCTATAGAACTGACATGTAATGGTATGCTATGATTCCGAGTGGAATGATGGTACGTGGCGCATTCCGGATCGATTGTCTAGCGCAGTGGCGGAGCTTCACACTGTCGGTACATTGTCCTTACAAGTCCCAAGTCCTGCCAGCTTGGACCACAGCTAAATTAGCCTTGTTCAATGAGAGCTCCGTACAGCTCTCAGGATCTGACGTGTGAAGCCCCGCCCCTCCGAAACGACACCATCCGGTCTGATGCGCGCGTATCGACTTTGTATTCAGCATGCATCTTGCCAGCTTCTTCGTCGGCTGCCATTTCTTGTGTTCTCCCGATGCAGGATTTCTGCCTTTACAGGAACTCATGTCTCCATTAATCATCTGTTTGGAAGTTGGACAACCCTCTAAGGATGTACTACTCGGAGAAACTGTGCAGGTATTACTCAAAATTTATTTTGTCTTATTATTAGCACTCGATGAAACTAAGGATCCCTTTTTTAGGCCGTAGCTACAATAGATCGGGACATTATCGCAAATTCTAAACGAAAATCATCTAAAATGACGACAAACAGTCACTTCCTGTCCCAGACAGTCACGAAGAGTTCTTGTTTTTCGACAGTGGCCAAAAACGAGAAATTTCCTGCGAATTCCTCACGAGAGGTTGCCAGGTCCTTGGCCAGGGTGTTCTTCATGATTTTTTTTTTCTATTTCTTTCTCCTTCCATGGAGGGTCACGTAGCCATTACAGGTTTTTTAAGGAACGCCTATCCACAGTGTGCGGTCGCACGGTTTGTCTCCAAGTGTAGATAAGGACGCAGCCTCGGTCACTCGGCTGCTGGCCAGGTGCTCCTTCTTTGGTCGCGCCCAGTAGGTAATATAGCGCAGATGGTATCTTATCTGTTTTTGTCGATTGATAAGTTTACCTGTCATCCGTCATCAATGTGCCTCATCACCAAATCTCTATGATTTGGTAGCGTGAACCAACCTTGAACAGCGACGACGACTGCAACTTCACTTATCAGCCCCTATCAGTAGTTATCGCTTCCAGTCACCCACGGTTGATGTCCCCATCTCACCCTCTATATCACTTGCTGGAACGTGCGCCTCGCTGATGCTGTGACCTGCGCTGTGAATACGATGACCTCACCTTTCTAACGCCCCTTATCGAATCTTATCAGATCAGCTCACAGTTCTTGTCCCCAATACTAATGTTCTTGTGACGCGCTCCCAGTTAATCACTGTTACCATTTTGGAATCAAGGAGTAGTTCATGGTGCTAGTCATACCTGTTCAACTTTACGAACATAGATCGTAACCTGTCTCTTCATAATCGCGTCACTCATTAGGGAGCTCTTAGAAGCGATCAACTGCATATCACTTCCATGGGCGTCCACCCAGCATTGTTTTCACACACCACCTACGATCACTTCTTGATCAATCTGCCTTCTGTCTCATGCCTACTGCGGACTCGGCTCGCCATGATTCGTGACAAACAGACGGACGCACGCTGCGCCACACACACACGTACATACATACTTAGCGGATTGTATATTGTAAGAGACTTGGTGGTGGATGAGACAATTCATCCATTCCCAGGCCCGAACAGAAATCCCCACACATGCAGCTTGCTGTTGTTTCTTCGTACGCTCCTGCACCAAACGGTATCCATCTAAAAACGTGAAAAGTTTTTCTCTCTAGAAGGACTTAAGGCATTCCGTCGCTTCTAAAATTCATTGTGCCTGGATTGCGACAACGCGTTATAACGAGCCAAAATAGCACAGTATATGAGACCAGTACTCTTTTCTTATCCTTCGTAGTTGTGGCATGCAACAGACTTCTACCAGAGGTCTGGAAGTGGTTATATCTGACCCATACAATGGCGGTGGATACTAATCGACGCATAGATCGATGCTTTCGTGTACACCGACCAACCCGATTCAATTACGTAGCTCAGGCTGCAGCTCGAGTAAATGCCCCTCTATTTACCGATGGCTACAGAGAATTCATGTTGCTCTAAACAATCTGATTGGAAGTTTGTATGATTCAGGGAGACCAGAAGAATCAATTCTAACATGGCTCATTTACTGGTACTTTTACATATGTTAAGCTGGTCGCCATGCTACCTTCAAAGCGTGGAAGTGGCATGGTCGCCAGGCTGCCGCCCTGCACGAAAACTATCCGTGCGAACAGATTCAGCCCAAGCCAAGAAGCCTTCTATGTTTCAGGATAGGCTAATCAGGGTTCTGAACCCCGAACACCTATGCGAGAACGTCATTTAATGGGCCATGTACGGAGGCGAAGAATTACTTCCCAGTCGCGGCACCGCTACGAGTTGATTTGGAATATGGAGTCGATGCGCAGCGTCGCTAGCCATGCGCTGAAGTAAAGTTGGGTCCTAGTGCAAATGTTGCGTACATCGGTCGCGCTTATTTTGTTACGACTGTCAATGTAAAGATCACACCCCTGCAGTTTCGCCATGCGAAAAAACCTCAAAAATGAAGCCGAATGGCCGGGTAAAGCAGCTAATGTTCCCCTTCCAGTACCTTCTTTCGCCAGTAAGTGTGTATTTTTGTAGGGCTCATCAATCTCCCTGCCGATCTGGGATGGGCCGGGATGTCGTTAACGATTGCTGTTGGTATGACGCCGTTGGCAGATGGCAAGGATCGATGAGGCGCGAAACAATCACGGATGCGGTCCTTAGCTCTTCGTCCTTCTACTTTTCCCCTCTTACTTGTACGTGAAGTTGAGTTCTGGTGAGTTGTCGAAGTTTTTTCTTGTGCGAGCTCTTCTTCCCCGGGCTCTGTATAGTACAGTAGCCTAGAGGTTTAACTAGTAGTGAAAATTACCAAGCTCGACGCAGTAGCCGTTAGAATTCGGTCCTCCCACTTCTGGGGCTCCTCTTAGTGTACCTGGCCGCATGGGAACATCCAGTGTTCAACCTTTTTGCCTTCTTTCCACTCAAATGGGTATCCAGTTTAACCGATGATTAGGTGTGGATGTTACGTAAAAACACGAAGGGTAGCCGTGTAATTGCACAGCACTGCCGACTACCGTAATCCCACGACTGTTTTCATCCGCTCATAGGGCACAGTGAATGTACTCTACGCTGGCCAAATAGGAGTATCAGCAGAGTTTCTTTGACATTATCGTTCATTCACCGAGAAACTTTTGTGCTTCCTCTGCCTTTGTACTACTGTCGGCACGGCCCTCCCCGTTCAGCTGCAAAAACGCAATCCTTGGCCCTATTTACCCTTTTTTAGTTTTCCAAGTTGAGGTCGCATTTTCGATTCGTCTGAAAATTGTCTCCAGGGGTACGTCGACTTCCTGAACACGAAAGTCACATCGGTTTGGCCTGAGATATCCTGGTGTCTGCGCCATAGGCACCAGTGGCAAAATCCCCTAAGTTACCAAATTTGCTGCAAACTTCAGTCTCCAGAGGAAGTATGACTTCCTGACCATGAACATCACATTTGTTAGTTCTGGAACCACCTGAAGCTGTGTTCATACTTTGCGGCAGTGTCGACCAGCGACGCTGAACGACGCTGGCATTCACTAGCTCTGTGTTAATCTACAACCTCTCGCCTTGGTGCTCGCTCGAAACGGTGGTGGACGCTGCCGCAAAGTATGAATGCAGCTGACGCATGCGCCACCAGCGACGGCTACATATGCTTGTTCCGATTCCAGCGCATGTAGCGTCGACTCTAGCCGGCGTGCCGATCGGCGGGCTAGCGCAGTAAGGGAAACCCGACGAGAAAACACAGCACCCTTTCTGGGTGCATGTGTTAGTGATCCTCCTCATTACTGAAACAAAGGATCGCTATTCGTGGGAAGGACGCTCTGATACAACTTATAGCCCGCTTTGTTAGTTCACTCGAGGAACAACAGCACCCAAGCTGAAGAGCACAGAAGACATCAATACCTGTACAAGCTCACAGGTTGAAGGGAGCGCTATGGACGATGAGTCTGTTCTATAACACCGCTGATACAATAACAGATAGTACTGAGGAAATTTGAGTGCCTCCCTCAATTTAATACGAATTTATTGGACTAATGTAAAGCTCTCCACAACGTAAAGATACATATGCTCAAAATCTAAGAACCATTGATCCACGAGGACGCATACATATATTTCATCCGTAACATTGATTTGTACCTATTAAGACAACTAGAATACCTCACGTCAGCGAAACACTTGGTCAGGCAACCTGCGATACATTTGATTGATGCGTAGCTGTAGAGCGCGAACAAGAAAGCTTCGCAGTTTTTTACGTCAAATGATGGGGAGATCCGTGCCGACAGTAGTATAAGGGCAGGAGTAGTTTTGAAAGCGTTATGACAAAGAACCCCCGTTAAGACACATCACCATCACGGTGTACCAAAGTAGTGCTCCCCGACGAATAAAAGCAGGCGTGGGATTACGGTAGTTGCCTATTGTACGCAATTACACGGCTACCCTTCGTGTTTTTACGTAACAGATGATTAGGTGTGTCCCGTGTAATCGCAGACCGTACAAAGGGTTCAGTTTAGGTCACGGCTGAATATTACAATTACCGACGCCATTTTCGCTCGGGCTGTTTCGATTTTGTAAATGACAAGTTTTTTACTACAAGTATGTTTGTAGTTTTATTGGTTTTAGTGCCTTAGGTGACCATTCGGCGCTGAAATCATGGTCTGGGCGACAACGGATTTGTATTCGGACGTGTCTCGGGGACGTTGGTATTTTTTTCGGAAACTTTCGCGGAGATGTTGCATCATTTTGATGGTTATCTTCCTTTTTAGTTGGGTGTAACTAGTGGAGCACTCCACCAGAAACGAACTAATTATAAATACGTTGGTATGGTAGAGGAAACCGATGGTTCATTTGCTGGTGACCTGAACTATGGACTTCATACATTGTTCTTCACTGAAATGTTTCGAGGTTATTTTTTGCGAATTTTGAGATCTTCATTAGTTAGCGCTTTTCAAATCAGTTGTTTTAAAGTCAAATGTACTTGCTTATAGCATTTTAGCTTTACATATCAATTTATAGGCTTCGGAGTAATGCTGGGTCACTTCTTTATGGAACCTGCTACGATCAACTATCCCTTTGAGAAAGGACCTATCAGCTCTCGATTCAGGTATGTTATTTTCCATGCCCGATGGCACTTGAGGAATCTGCGAATTGAAAGAATCGCGGCGAGGAAAATGTGGGTATGACCGCGGAGATGAACGATCTCGATTCATGAGACTTCGGATTTCTAAGTTTTTGGTACCACTTCATGGGCTAGGCAGGCGGTCTCTAGTCGACTGGCGAGATTGCGGCCTTCACATTATATTGTTGAAAGAAAAACATGGGCTACTTTGTTCTTTATACGTCTAGCGTACAGTGGTAAAAGGTTGGTAAGGCTGGAAGTGTAGGAACTCAGGGGAATTACTGGTAAACCGCCTTCGAGAAGAATACTATGTTTAAAGGACTACATGTTCAGACACCGCTGGACGCGAAAAGCCACATAACGGGAATTCTAGCGCACGCTGGTTAGAAACGAAGGGAGTTCAAAGGAATCAAGGGGAAAATGGGAATACTGAAACGTAGATGAGGACTTTTGCTTGAACCTAAGCAAGAAGGAGTTAGGGGTGGGGTAATCCTATTTATTTGTGTAAAAAGGTTTGGGATCAATTACTTCGCAGTAGTGTAAAAAGGTTTGGGATCAATTACTTCGCAGTAGAAGTCCTTTAAATATATTCTTCTCGAGGCGGCTTACCCAGTAATTCCCCCTGAGTTCCTCACAACTTCCACCTTACGCAGCCTTTCAACTGTACCAGGACGTATAAAAACAAAGTAGCCCCTGATTTCTTTCCCATATAATGTGAAGGCCCAATCAGTGCCTAGTCGACTAGAGAGCCTGCTTAGCCCATGAATGTAACCAAAACCTAGAAAACCGAGTCTCCTGAATCGCCGGATCGTTCAATCTCCGCGGTCGATACCCACATTTTCCTCGCCACGATCTCAATTCGCAGATTCCTCAAGTGCCATCGGGCATGGAAAATAACATACCTGAATCGAGAGCTGATAGGTCCTTTCTCAAAGGGATAGTTGATCGTAGCAGGTTCCATAAAGAAGTGACCCAGCATTACTCCGAAGCCTATAAATTGATATGTAAAGCTAAAATTAAGCAAGAACTGTACAACTGCAAACAGCAACAACTGTATTTGAAAAGCGCTAACTAATGAAAATCTCAAAATTCGCAAAAGGCCTCAATAAATAACCTCGAAACATTTCAGTGAAGAACAATGTATGAAGTCCATAGTTCAGGTCACCAGCAAATGAACCATCGGTTTCCTCTACCATACCAACGTATTTATAATTAGTTCGTTTCTGGTGGAGTGCTCCACTAGTTACACCCAACTAAAAAAGAAGAAACATGCAAAAATGATGCAACAT